TTTTTTTTTTTTTTTTTTTTTTTTGAGACAGGATCTCATTATGTAGTTGAAACTGACCTGGAACCTGGAGCTCACTATGTAGCCCAGGCTGGTTTCCAACTCAGTGATCCTCCTGCGTCAGCCTCCCAAGTGCTGGGATTATAGGCATGCACCACCACGCTGGCTTAATGGCATTTTTAAATTGATAAACTGCCCCAGATTTGACCAGTGAGAGCTTCTTTTTTTTTTCTTTTTCTGGGGGCTGGTGTGGGTGCTGGGGGACTGAATTCAGGACCTTGCGCTGGCCAGGCAGGCCCTGTGTCACTGAGCTAAATCCCACCTTCTGTTTCCTCTTGACTTCTGGGAGCACTTCCTTTATTGTTTTTTGTTTTATTTTATTTTTATTGTTTTGGGTTTTTTTTGAGACAGGGTCTCACTATGTAGTTGAGACTGACCTGGAACTCATTATGTAGCCCAGGCTGGTCTTGAACTCACAGCGATCCTCCTACCTCAGCCTCCTGAGTGCTGGGATTACAGGCACGCACCACCATGTCTGGCATTGTTTATATTTTAAAATAAAACATGTCATTACATTTTTTAGGATAATTTGATTTGGGGCTAAGGAAGAGTTGTAGACCATTTGTAGACCAGAGTTCAATCCCCAACACCAAAGATAACTTGATTTAGGGTTGTAAATTTCAGCCAGACTTCCTGCTACCCCAGGGCTTTTGCACATGCTATTTTTCCACAGCTTTTTTCCCGTATGGATTATTGTTTTTGTTACCATTATTGTCATTTATCATCAAACCATTCTTCTAAGAAACATTTAATTTTTCATTGTTTTTGTTTAATATTACCAAAACATTTTATTGAATATTTTTAGATGCACATTGTTGCTTCTCCCTGGTACAAGTATTTGTGTAGTGTGCATACAGCCAGAATTAAGGAAGTGGAGTGGAGTACGGTGTTGGGAGCTTGGAGGCTCTGTCTTCCCTCAGTGCAGAGTGCATATCTGTGATTGGGTCCCCACACAAGGGGCCCACAGTAAGTTTTCAGCATGTTCTCAGTTCTCTGAGATGAAAACATTGCTGCTTCGTGGTTTAAGGCCGGCACATTTCATCCCTGAGCATTTCTGCCTTTTTTACACAGAAAGTGGTTTTCTGCCCTGTCAAAGAAGCCCTGGAGGTGGACTGGAGCAGTGAGAAAGCAAAGGCTGCCCTGAAGCGCACAACCTCCGATTACTTCCTCCTGCAAGGTGAGGCTGGCCGGGCTCTGCAGGGTGGGCTTTTGACGCGCATTGCTGCACACGTGGCATTTGCTCTGAGTCCCTCTCCAGCTGGTTCTTAGTTGGCCCCTCTAGACAGGCTGAATAAATGGGGGTGAGGCTCAGCATTGAACGCTGTTTTCCGGTGACTTTTGCTTTTTTCTGTTGAAGTGACTTGCCCTCTAGAGTTGAACCTTAGAGAAATGGTGTCACAAATCCAGCAACGCCCCATCTCCACTTTTCTTTCTTTATGTTTTTCCTTGGCCTCAACACCAGCATCAGTTGCCCTTCCCAAACAGACAACTGCGGAGATGTTTGTCTTTCCCGTCCCCCACCACTGTTAGTGAGCAGCTTTTCAGTCCATCCTTGCTGATTCTTGGGGAGATATTAGCGAAGTATTGACTGACTTGTCAGTGTTCTTTGTGTGCCTGGAACTTCTGATTTTTGAGTACCAGGGATTTAACTTGGGTCCTTGAGCTTGCCAGGCAGGTGGAGGAACCACTGAGCTAAATCCCCGGCCCTGGTGCTTCTAATTTTTAAAGTATTATTGAAAATACTAAATGATAAACGGAAGTTATAGCCAGGGATTTAGCTCCGTGGCACCACACCTGCCTTGCAAGTGCAAGGTCCTGAGTTTGATACCTGGTACCAACCCCCGCCCAACGCATACAAATACAAGTTACATGTAGTTCATGCTCACCTAGGTGTTCCTCCTGCCTCAGCTTCTTGAGTGCTGGGATTACAGGCATGTACCACCCTCCCCCAGCCCACTCTTCCATATTTTAAAAAATTTCCTTCATCTCATTTCGTCTCTACTCTCTCTTCTCTCCTCTCCTCTTTTCATTTCTTTTTTCTCCAAGGTAGCCTTGATCTCTTGATTCTCCACTTCAGCTTCTTAAGTTTCTGGGACTGTTGAACACCTTTCTAACGCTCCCTGTTTTTAAGCAAGGAAATGGAGGCACAGATTGAGGTTACTAGTGTTCTCAAGGTTATACAGCAAGTGGGTGTAAATTTCTTTGTTTTTGTTTTTTGAGGCAGGGTCTCACTATGTAGCTGAGACTGACCTAGAACTCACTATGTAGCCCAGGCTGGTCTCAAACTCAGCGCTCCTTAGGCAGGGTCTCACTATGTAGCTGAGACTGACCTAGAACTCACTATGTAGCCCAGGCTGGTCTCAAACTCACAGCGATCCTCCTGCCTCAGCCTCCCGAGTCCTGGGATTATAGGTTTGCACCACCATGCCCAGCTAAAAATATTTTTAATGAGTTTAAAAATAACTTATACTTACTATAGAACATACCAGAAAAGCACAAAGAAGGAAAAATATTCCCTTGACATTTTTGTATTTTTATGTTCTTTCATGTTACAGTATATGTAGCACAATATTTATACAGGATCCTGGAGTCCCTTGGCCACCTACCCCAGCCCTATCTGTCCATTCCAAGGCCTAAGGAAATCTGTATCTCTGCATAACTTAACTCATTTGAAGATAAAAGTAAATGTGTAGCTTTTATTTGAAAGCCTGAAAAGCATCATTTGGTTGCATTTGGACAATTTCCAGCCTCCTTTGCCCTGGGCTGAATTGAACTATATCCCCATCTTCTTCCTTCCTATGCAGATGCCAACAGAGTCCCTGCCCTGGGCTCCATTGCCAGCAACACCCCGCCCTCCCCATGAAAACGCACCAGGCATGGTGGTGAACAACTAGTCCAGCACTCTAGAAGGGTGAGGCAGGAGAATCACAAGTTTGAGATCAGCCTGGGCAACATAGTGACTTAGTGAGATCCGGTCTCAAAACAGGAGGAAGTGAGACGGGAGAGGTAACTCCTTTTATTCAGTCCCTAGTACCACCAGAAAAGGAGGGGGCAGAGAAATACACATGTGACATCCTTAATAACTGGCAAAAGGATCAAACTAGATTACAAATTTATTTTCTGTGCACAAAGCTTTCCCATTACTAGTTAATTGTGTCTGCAGGATGATTTAGGGAGCGTCTGGGGGATGAACTGTATTTTAAAGCTCTGGATAGCTCCATTTGAATAGAAATAATTAAATGTGTTAAGCAGGAAGTGAGTCAGGCATGTAGCTAGAGCAGGCCTGTGGGACCTGGTGTGCAAGGAAGTTGCAGCTGGGGTCAGAGGAGCAGCTTGTGCAGTCCAGGGTCACCATGAGCACAATGCCTGGACCATGTGGGGGAAGTGAGTTGTTCAGACCCTGGCACATTGGAAGCCCTCAGGAAACAGCAGCCACTAACCTGCAAAAGCATGACGCGAGCATCTCTAAATAATTCTCTTGAAAGAAGGAACGTGGTACTTGAGTTAACATAATAATCCATTGAGTCTCAACTGGGGCTATTTGGCTGTGTCTGCACCAGGGATGTTGTTGCAAAATACCTCACTGCAGGGCAGCTCCCATGACAAAAAGCTTCGGAGGCTGAGGCGGGAGGATTGCAAATTTGAGGCCAGCCTGGACTAAATAGTGAGACCCTGTCTCAAAAACAGGGAGTAGTGCTCAGATTAAGAGGCCTGACTTAACCATCTGCAGTTGCCATATTATTTTTTCATCCAGCTCAACTTTGCAGCACCCTTCTGAGGGAGGCATGGTAGAAATGATTCCCATTTGTGTTTTTGAACTGAGTAAATGAGAGACACATTGTAAATAGCAAAGGAGAGAGGACTCAAATAACCCAGTTATTTGAAGTCTGATTAACCAACTTGCAAGGTCTGAAGTAAGGAGAGCACACAGGGCCGTTCCTAGTGGCGCTCATGTACTTAACTGCATTGAATCTTTGCAGTGTTGATGTGGGATGGTGATACATCTCATTTATCGATGTCTTCAGAGGCACATGCCGATGAAGACCCAGTTACTGCGGCTGTGCCTGCCTTTGGCAAAGCCATTGGATGGAGAATGCAAAACTAATACCTTGGACAAGTCCTGTCATGTAAAGGTACAAGATCCCAATGATGAATGTAACCGTACTGTATACCTAAAATGTGCCACTAAACTCAATGAGAAAAAAAAACACCCAATACCTGGGACAGTAGGGGACAAGTATAGCCTTACTGGCCATGCTGCTGACGATCACGCCCTCAGAAGTTACCAGGGCTGGGAGGAAGCGGCAACCCTGTAACATGACCCATGTGGCAGGCAGTGATGTGTGGTTATTCAGAACAGGAGCTTTGGAATTAGAGCATCTGGCTTCCAGTCCTGGCTCTGCCGTTGTATTATATTGTATTGTAGGTTTTTGGAGACAGAGTCTCACTATGTAGTTCAGGCTGGCCTCGAACTCACCGTGATCCTCCTGCCTCAGCCTCCTGAGTGCTGGGATTACAGGCCATTTTAAAAATTGTTTGCAGCCAGGCATGGTGGCACAGGCCTGTGCTTCCCATGCTTCCTTCCATCCCTCATTGCTGACAGAGCTAAAGGTGCTCTCACAGCATGTTTAATGCACCCTGCTACTCTCCCTGTAGCCTCAGAACCCTTTGAACAGTGCTGCTTGCAGACCTCAGAGGTGGCGTGCAAAATGAACCCACTTCTCAGTTCCTATTAGGCTCTTTTTATGGTGCAAATAGGCATGGAAGGGAAGTGACACTTTGGTCATACAAGTTCGTGGTAGTTTAAGTCTAAAATCCATCTGATTTCCAGGTTCTGTTTATTTTTATTATTATACCAGGGATCGAACTCGGGGCCGTGCGCTTGCAAGGCAGGCTGCAGAACCACTGAGCCAAATCCCCAGCCCCAGGTTCTGGTTCTTTTCTACCACACAGAAGGCCCTTCCTGCTTCAGAAAGCCAGCTTAACCTACCCTGGGCCTATCTTTGGCAACAGATGACAAGCCCTAACCTTTATTGCTGGCATCTGCATGATCCTGATTACCCCCCTCCCCCAGGTCTTTTTTAAGCTGTTAATGTCTTTCCAAAGGTGTTGCAACTGGAACTGCAAAGAGTTCTCCAAATGTCATGAGCACCAGGGCCTGGCTTGCTGTTTGCCCCCAGTGCAGTCCTGCTTGGCTCCTTAGCTGGCCCGCTGCATTCTAGCTTGCAGAAGTAGAGAGGACTGACTGTCATCTCTTCTGGGCCTGCAGCTTGGAGATCCTAAGCTGACTCTTGCCATGTGTATTACTGTCTGTCCACAGAAACATGTCTTTTGATTTTTCTGCTCAATTGTTATATAATCGAGAGGTTCTTGTGTAATATGGCCTTACTACATTTATCAATGAGAACATAGCACTATCTTCTGCCAGATATACTTACTATTAACTACCTTTGTAATCTTGGGCAAATCAACTTACCTTTTTGGAGTGTTGTTTGCACCACTATAAATGGTGAGATTAAGTTAACTGTGCAGTCACTATAAAGTCTGCATTCTAGGCAGTCACTGAATACAATGAAATATAAATTCTTTGTATGTCCTTCATTTTAAAATTTTATTTATTTATTTGTTTGTTTTGGTACTGGGGATCATACTCAGGACCTTGTTCTTACAAGGCAGGTGGTGGAACCACTGAGCTAAATCCCCAGCCCCATTTTTATACTTTAGACAGTGTTTTGTCTTTTTTCTGTTGTTGTTGTTGTTGTTGGTTGTTGTTGTTGTTGTTGTTGTTGTTGTTGTTGTTGTTGTTGTTATTGTTTTTTGAGACAGAGTCTCACTATGTAGTTGTGACTGACCTGGAACTCACTATGTAGCCCAGGCTGGTCTAGAACTCACAGTGATCCTCCTGCCTCAGCCTCCCGAGTGCTAGGATTACATGTGTTCGCCACCACACCCAGTGTAGACACTGTTATTGAAATATGATTTATCTAGGTATCCTTGTCACTTCCTCTTGTTGCTGAGAGAAAACACCAGACACCTAAAGTTAAAGGAGGAAAGGTTTATTTTTGCCTCACAGTTTGCAGAAGTTTCAGTTCATAATTGGCTGGCTCCAAGGCAGGGTGACATGGCAGAGGGGTGTCACACACCAAAAAAAGGTTCATGACCACTGGGTGTGGTGGC